ACTTAAAGCCAAATATCATTAAAGTTGACTTTCTGAATCATTTCCCAAATAATCATGCACAATTGGTTTCTCTTTCCCATAACACATTTTGAGAATAAAAGCCTCAGTATGTGTAATTCAATATATAATACAAGTCTTTAAGATAAACTCTGTAATCAGAATGATAAATGTACTATATGCAGGTAGTGAAGAATATAATCAAGAAAAAACAAAGTTTTAAAGAAAAGTAGTGAATGCTGAGTAAAAATGTCATCTAAGAACAATATTTCCATTTTTCTAATATATTTAATACTAGGTATTCAAGTACTTTTCTAGAGCAAGCAGCAAAATGAACTTCTAAATCTATAAAGGATGTCTAAGAGGTAATCTCTAAGTGTAATCCTTATAATCCCTATTAGAAGAAATCAAGTTATTTATTCACAGACTCTTCCTTTTGCATATTATGATATAAATGACAACCCTGAGGACATACCCTTTCAGTTTTTCTGCAGCAGAAAATGCTTAGCTTTTCCTATGCTTCTGTGACTGTACTTTCCAGAGTGCAACATAAAACAGTGGAACAGATAACATTATTAGCAGCCAGGACACCTTTCTACTTTATTGTATAAATTTACCAGGGTCATATTCATATTTTAAAAGACAGAAAAGAGAGTAACATGTCCCAAGCTACTCTCCTTCTTGTCACTGAGTGTGATACACAAATAAACTCAAAATTTGGCAAAGTGATATGATACTGTGGCATCTTATAAGAGAGAGTATCTGGTCTTTGTACATAATACCCAGCAGAAAGTTTCAAAAACCCTTGGTATTTCCTGAGAAACAGGAGTGTCTTTGTTACATTAATGAGGCAACATGGGCCCCTAGGTAGCTTCAGGATGGGGGCTAGTCACTAGAAAGACCAACCATATGTTTAGAGGAATAAACTGGTCAGGCCAACCTTCTAGGAAAGGAAGAGGACTTGAGATCGAGTTCAGTCACGCAGCTAATGATTTAATCAATCATGCCCATGTGACGAAACCTCATAAAAACTCTGTTCATCAATACTCAGTGGAGCATCCTTGGTGAACAAAAACTGATGTGCTGGGAAAGTGATGTGCCCACATTTCACAAGGATGGCATGGAAGTTCTGCATCCTTTCCTTGCCCTAAACCTTGCCATATGTGTCTACTTCCTGTTTGGCTGTTCCTGAGTTGTATCCCTTATAATAAAACTGTAATTGCAAGTAAAGCACTTTCAGTGAGTTATGTGACTCATTCTAGCGAATTATCAGCCTTGAGGGGATTATGGGGAGTCTTGAAATTGTAGTCCACAGGGCAGAAGTGTGAGTAGCCTGGGGACCCCATTTACAGCTGGCATCCAAATTAACGGCATTCTTAGTGGGGACCTTGTCCTTTAATTTGTGGGATCTGATGCCAACCCTGGGTAGCTAGTGTCAGAACTAAACGGAAGTGGGGGGCACCCAGCTGGTGTTACAGAATTAGTGTTGGAATGTAGACACCAAAGGCAAAAGTGACAAAATAAAAAAATAAACTGGACTTTATCAAAATGTAAAACTTGTATTTCCAAGAACACCATCAAGAAAGTGAAAAGACAATCCAAGAATAGAGAAAATATTTGCAAATCATACATACGATAAGGGACTTGTATCTAGAATATACTAAGAACACTTACAACTTAATAAAATGATAAATAACCCAAGTAAAAATAGGCAAAAGATGTGAATATTACTCCAAAGACATACAAATGGGTAAAGAATCTGAAAAGGTGTTTTTCCAAAGAAGATTATCCAATGGCCAGTAAACACATAAAAAGACGATAAACATCATTAGTTATCAGGGAAATGCAAATCAAAACCACAATAAGATACCACTTCACAACCACTAGGATGGCTATAATCAAAACAATAATAATAAGTGTTGGTGAGGATTTAGAGAAAATGAAACGCTCATATACTGCTGGTGGGAATGTAAAATAACACAGCCACTTTGGGAAACAGTCTGGCAGTTTCTCAAAAGGTTAAATATAGTTAGCATATGACCCAGGAATTCCACCACACACCTAAGAAAAAGGAATACATGTATCTATACCAAAAGTTGTACACAGATGTTTTTATCAACATTATTCATAACAGTCAAAAAGTAGAAGCAACCCAAATGTCCATCGACTGATGAAGGGATGAAAAAATATGGTACATCCACACAATGGACTATTATTAGATAATAAAAAGGGATGAAGTACTGATACATGACACAATGTAAACAAACGTTGAAAACATTATGTCAGGTGAAAGAAGTCAGTCACGAGAGGCCACATATTGTATTACAATTCCATTTATATGAATTTTCCAGAGTAGGTAAATTCATAGAAATAAAAAGTACATTAGTCTAAGGTTGACAGAGGCCACGGGGAAGGAACACTGGGAAGTGACTGCTAAAGGGTAGATTTCTTTTTGGGTGATGAAAATGTTCTGAAATTAGTGGTGATGACTGCACAACTCTGTGAATATACTAGAAACCAATGTACTGGATACTTTAAAATGGTAAACTTCATGATATGTGAATTATATTCTAAAAATCTATTATTAAAAACACAAAAACTGGCCAGGTGAAATATATTTGGAAAGTTATTTAAATAAACAAGCACTTAAATAACCCTGCTATTATCTATATCATAATGGAGAGCACCAATACAATTGATTACACGAAAATTATATTTAGCCTTACAATTTTCATATTTGACTTTTAAAAGCAATTTGAGATACACACAGACATACACAGCAACTTAATTTCTTCTTTCTCCAACTGCCATTATCTCCTGCCTCAAAGCTTAAGCTCCATTATCAGTGGTTTAGAAGGCAATTGGGCAGTGAGTGAGGTCAGAACCTGGTCATCAGTTAATCCATTCCTGGATAATCAAGTGTTGTAAATCCAGATTAACAACAAAAAAAATATAGTTAATTCTTTGGATGGGCCTGACCTATCTATCTAGTGCTCTTAAAACACACCATACAACTAATGTATTAAATCTCTATAAATTAAATTCTTGAGAAGTTAAATATTACAATGCCATAATATTAAAAGCATGGCCACATTTTTCTTTTTTGTTTTTTTGAGACGGAGTCTCACTCTGTCGCCCAGGCTGATGTGCAGTGGCGCAATCTTGGCTCACTGTAACCGCCGCCCTACAAGTTCAAGCGATTCTCCTGCCTCAGCCTCCCAATAGCTAGGATTACAGGCACCTGCCACGGTGCCCGGCTAATTTTTTGTATGTTTAGTAGAGACGGGGTTTCACCATGTTGGCCAGGCTGGTCTTGAACTCCTGACCTCGTGATCCACCTGCCTGGGCCTCCCAAAGTGCTGGGATTACAGGTGTGAGCCACCGCGCCCGGCCAAGCATGGCCACATTTTAAATTGGTTGTGGATATTTTATGCATTGTTCATTTCTCTACTTTTAAAATTTAATTTAGAATGCAAAATCAGGAAATGCTAATAACACATTATATAATAGCACTTGTTTCACAATCATCAGAACTACAGCATGTACAGTATCTTCTATCAGTACTAATATGTTATTTCCAAGGAATCCTACATTTTTCTTGAATTTACTCATCTCAACATCTTTCCAAAGTCTCTTGATAATTTGAAAATGCTGCCTTTCATCTCAAGAAGTCAAAGACATTTGCAGATTATTCCTTTTTAAATTAAGTCAAAGATTTGTCAATCTATGAGAGTGCACGACAAATGTAAAGAAACAATACTACAAAAATGGGCCCATGATAGAGGTTTGCTTACCCATGATACAGGTATTTGAATCCACTGATCAATGTGATACTATAAAAACTGATGAGGAAGGAACTGTGGCAAAAATGACAGCATGCTAGTCTGAGGGGAGCTGCCAACCGGTTGCCACGTGGTATGGAACTAGTAGTTGCCAGATCTCATTTTTCTCAAAGATCCAGAAATCTGGCTTTTTATGGAAACTCTCAGGATCAAATGTTAACATAATGAAAGACATTTTAACCCCCTCCTCTGCTTACTTCTAGATTGTGCCAAAGGCTAAATTTTCAGTTTGGTCTACAATAGGTACCATGTTAATTAAGTTGGGTATCAAATAAATTTTAGTTTTGATGCATTCTGCACAGAAAACAGTTTCAAGTTCATAGCAATATTACAGATTTAAAAAAATACCACAAACTACTTCGGGCTCTGATGCCAATCATTCTGGACTCTTGTGCCTCTTAAACCTTTCCAATTAAGTATCTCAAGGAAATACACTGAACAGAATCCCCCCACTCTCCAAGCTGAGGGCAGAGTTTTCGGAGATAAACTTCAAGAAAGTTACAAAAAAATTTTTTTTAAACCAACACTTCATACAAATTTTGGCTTCTACCCCATAACGTACTCAGGCTTCTTTTAATACAAAAGTTGCTCTGTTGCTTCCCTCATAAAATTTACCATGTTTATTTCGAGGCTTCACATAATCCGTAGCACAAGGCTCCCTAACTCCAGGGCACAGGTCACCTATTTGAGAAGGAAGGACTCAGAGTTTTATCCACTAAAACTTTTTTGTTTTTTCCTTGGAAGCCAAGGGTCTTTCTTGGAATATGCAGCTTTTAAGGAATATGCAACTTAAAGCCTTTAACAAATACACTCTTAAAAACTTCAATCTTTACAGTATTCTGGGAGAGCCTGTTGAATGAGGGCAATTTAGTAAATACTGGGTTTTAACTCATCATCCAGTTTTAGAACCATTCCAAATGTTTTTAGATTAATACACGACATTTGTTTTCAACCTAATTTTCCCTTGACGCATCGCATCCCCTTCCACCAGTCTAGCAGCCCCATGGACTGTAGGACAGACCTTTCTCCTCTCCCTCGTTATTCCCTCTATGATAAATTCGCCTTGTCTTCCCACAAAGATCCTTCTTCCAAAACCCAGATCCCGGGCGACGCCTCTCCGCGCAGAAGCCGCGGGAGGAGGAGAAAGAGGAGGAGTAAAGCAGGCCCTCTCGACGTCGGCCTGCGGGGAGCGATGCCGACAAGCAGGAGCGGTCCCGGCTTCGGAAAGGGCCCACCCTCAGGAATGGTCCGGGCAGGCCTAGCGAGGATGTCCCTACCGCGATGCTGGTTCCGTTTCCCAGGGTGGGCAGGCGCGGAAGCGAGGCGGCGAAGAGCGATAGTTTCGCGGCGTTTGCCCAGCCTCAGCCCCTGGGATGCGGGTGAGAGACATGGAGGACTGGTCAGACTTTGCGCGTCCCTGGGGCCGCTCACACAGCACAAAAGGCTCCCAGCCGGCTTCCCGCAATGTCCTCACCTGTGCCTGGCAGCCGACCCCCACCTGGACCCGCAGCGCCGCCAGGAGAAGTCCTGCGCAGCGCTGGGAAACGACAAGAGACGGCAGACCGATAGGCAGCGACAGCGACAGCAACAGCCCCACTGCCGCCGGGGAATTCCAGGTTCGGTTCCCGGGAACGAGTCCCGCCCCTCCTCTTTTGCCCCGCCTCCGCCCCATTGGGGCGAGGATCCCGGATGTTACCTCCTTTGGCTCTCTGAATCTCCGCCCTTTCTTCTCAGGCCCCAGCCCTTCCGAATCCGCTACGGGTGCTGCAAGGCCTGGGAAGAGTTTCGATGTCTCTAGGGTGGCTAGAGCGTCCTCGCGCGCTCCGTCGCGCTGCAGGTGACGGCGCCCGGAGGCTGTCGGGAAGTAGGCGGGGTGACGTGTGGTGGACGAGCTCGGCGGCGGGTTTGCTGAGATCTGTGGCTGGCGGCAGCTGGTGCGGGGGGCGGCCGAGAGCGAGAGGTGGATCGGGGCGGTGTGTGGCCGGGGCCATGACGGGCAATGCCGGGGAGTGGTGCCTCATGGAAAGCGACCCCGGGGTCTTCACCGAGCTCATTAAAGGATTCGGTGAGAACCTAGGGGACCGTCCTGGGCCTGGGGTCACGGGAGGAGGCCCAAGCTGGGCATGGAGTGGTTCCCTGCGGCCACCGCCGCCCCGCATCTGGAGAGGTGACTTCAGGAACCTGGAGTCCGGGTGGGGGAAATGTAGGTTTTCTGCTCTCGAGACAGTCGCGTTTCCACAGTAATTTGAAGAGCCACACCACGAGGGCAAGGATCGTGTCTGTCTTGTGTCTGCTATATCCTCAGGACCTGGCACCCAAATCCTGTAATTGACTTGAGGACCCTCGCTCCCCAAGCTCTTAAAGCACATACTGTCCTTTCCACTGCCCCTTCTCTGCGGCGCGCACCTTATCCCGGGCTGGTGTGGTCAAGTGCATTGCTCAGGCCATTAGTCCTGCAGGAGCCACCCTAGGGTGTGCCTTCTCAAGGGTGAGGTGTCTGCGGCCTAAGCCGCCCAGGAACTCGAGATTCTGGTTACTCAAAGCAGAACGCCCTGAATGTGTGAATAGCTCTTCGGGACGTCCACACACGCCGACTGCGTGGGCCTGAAAGGCCACTTCACTGGTTCCGCTCTCTGCTCATTTCTGTCTTCCGGTGAAGTGAGTTTTCTTGAGCTAGTGTTCTAGACTAGAGGCCACATGCTTTCCTCACAGTTTCTCTCTGGCTGTGTTTAGTGCCTTCCGTCCTAAATAATCAGCACATTTGACTTTTTATCCTTCCCTGTTTATCTTTAGTCTCTTCTTTGGACAGTACGTTTTTATCTGTTACATTTCCCAAGTATTATTGATTCTACGGTGTTAAAACTTTCACGCGGGATAACAAACGTTGATGGAGATACTGCCTATTGTACATAGCTTAATATTTGGAATGTCATTTATCAAGCATATGTTGTTCATCTGTATCTCAGGCACAGTGGTAAGGATTGGGAAATTTTCTTTTCTTTTCTTTTCTTTTGAGACAGAGTCTCGCTCTGTCGCCCAGGCTGGAGTGCAGTGGCGCGATCTTGGCTCACTGCAAACTCCATCTCTCCAGGTCAAGCGATTTTTCTACCTCAGCCTCCCGAGTAGCTGGGATTTCAGGCACGCGCCACCAGGCCGGGTGATTTTTTTCTATTTTTAGTAGAGACAGGGTTTCACCATGCTGGCCACGCTGGTCTCGAGCTCCTGACCTCGTGATCCACCCGACTCGGCCTCCCAAAGTGCTGAGATTACAGGCGTGAGCCTCTGCGCCCAGCCAAGGATTGGAAAATTTCCATGTGAATAAACCATAACTGCTGTTTTGAAGAATTGGTAGACTATAATATGGTGTGTTAATTGCTGTATTAGAGTATGTACAAAATGTTATAAGTACACAGGTCGTGGAGGAGCACAGGCAGAAGGAAAAACATAAACAGTAGTGATGTTAAAGTATATGGCTTAGCGAACAGCTAGCAAAGTGACTAGAACGTAATGTAACAGACTGGAGGAATATTTATTTGCATCTGAAACTAAAAAGATAAACCGAGGGCAGATTGTATCCCATGTTGTATAGTTTGAATTACCCTGTAGTGACTGGGGATTTACCTATCAAATGTATTTTAATGCTGAAATGACATTCATAATTAAGGTTTATTGTGCTTGTAAGTGTGCAGGACAGGTTGGAATAAAGTGAGGGAAGCTAGACATCTCTTAAAATGGTTGGAGTCCGAGATGACTGGCTAAACTAGTGGGTTAGGAAGGAGGAGTTAGATTCCATAAGTTTACTATATTTAAATCAGCAGTTGCATGTGGAAATATCTGCTCTTTATTCCTTTGGGAGCAGAAATACATCCATAACATGCTAAATTAAAAAAGGAGTTCTCAGGGCTGCCAACCTTACAGTAGAGGTTGAGTGGTAGTATATTACTCCTACATGAGAGAAAAAAAAATCAAAAGGACTGCTTACTAGACGTTGGGGCAAAAAAGAGGCAAAAATAACTCGCTGGTTTCTAGCCTGGGTGGCTGGTGAAACGCAATTACAAGTGAAAAGCAGGCTTGATGGACAAGAAAATGGATTCAGATTTGGACAGACACTGAGTTTGACATGTCTGCAGATTTAGCCATATATTTCACCCTCAAAACCTTAACAATATGTTACAGTTAACTTTCAGAAATGTGGTACTAGGTAAGTTTGTTTACTCCTTCAATTTCATATGTGCAGAAAAATTGGAGATCATGTATGAAAGAATGATATATAAAATCTTCTGTACATGCACATATGAAAAAGCAGTAACTATTAATAAATTGGCTTCATTAGCAGAAGAACGTGCAAAAAGTTAAATGATGGTAGTTTTATGTCACCATCGGATGCTTCAAACAGAAAATCAATTTATTCCAATTATTTCCATCATTTTCATTTTTTTCACTCAATTTATACATTTTAAAAAGCTTTTGGCTGTTGATTCTTTCAAAAATGAAATATCTGTATTGTGAATGCTGTCATAAATTCATTTCAAAAGTTCCATCATTGAAAGGGAAATGAATTGTAGACGCAGTAAGTATGTAAATACAGAGTTTGGTGGAATGTAGTATCTTTAAATTAAGAAACTGGCGGAGCAGAACTGTACTTTTAATTGGTATGGTCCATACATAATAACAAATGTGTGCCAAAACAAACCGTGATGGTCTGTTAATAAAAACAGAAGTTATAAACATTTGGTTACAGTCAAGATAGAGTAATGGGGACTGGATTCATTTTTCTTACAACAAACCAATGACCCCAGCTTTCATTTTATTATAAGAAAGTAGAAGACGAGAGCACACTAAACCTAAAGTAAGAAGATGACAGGAAATAATAAAGATCGGAGTTGAAATTAGTGGAACAGAAAAGAGAAAAAAAATGGAGAAAATATATGAAACTAAGAGCTGTTTTTTGGGGAAGATCAATAGAATTGCTGTAGCCAGACTGATCAGAAAAAAGAAATGTTCCTGTATTTCAGTGTAGGAATGAGAGAGGTGACAGCACTACAGATGCTACAGATACTAAAAATAATATTATGAACAATTTTATGCCAATAAATTTGACTATTTAGATGAAATGTACAAATTCCTTTAAAGACACAAATTACCAGTGTTCACTTAAGAAATAGATAACCAGTATATGCCCTGTATTTATTAAAGAAATGGAAATTGTAGTTTAAAATTTTCCCACAAAGAAATTCTAGCCAAGGTGGATTCACTGGTAAATTCTATCAAATATTTAATAATATAAATAATACCAATTCTACACAAACTCTTCCAAACTAATTGGAGAGAAAGGAATGCTTCCCAATTCATTTTCTGAGGACCAGCATTATCCTGACACCAAACCAGATAAAGATATTACTAGAAAAGAAAATTACAGACCTATATCCATCATTAACTTAAATGTACAAATTTTAAACCATTTTATGAAATTGAATTTAATAATTCATTCAGTGGACAATACATCATGACTAAGTGGGATTTACCCCAGGAATTTACCAGGAATTTAGGATTGGCTTAACATTTAAAAATCAATGTAATGTACTATATTAATAAGCCAAAAAATCAAAAATAAAAAATATGATTATGTCAATAGATGGAAAAGGCGTTTGACAAAAGCTAACATCTATTAAGAATTATGAAGTGTTAGATTTTATCCTGCTTGCCAGCAAATAAGTTGGCTTGCCAGTTTCATAGATGCTAGCAGACAACTTTTGGTTTAGAGATAAGGGTTGTATTACTCATAGCATAGTAGGCAACAGGAGATTCATTTTCACATTGGTTCCCATTTCCTCCGAGTCCATGAGGATGGAGGTGGGCTCTGGTAGATGCTGCACAAGTAGTGAGGCTGTATTACAGCTGAGGAACTCTGAGATACAGAACTAATCTTACAAGGAAGCTGCTAGCAAACCTGCTCAACTTTTGCCTTTAGGGACACATTATCTTTGTTATCCTGAGCAGCAAATCAGCCTTCCCTCTGCCTCAAAAAAAGGTGCTATCTCTGTCTTCCAACTCTGTCACTGTATGAACATCCTTGAAAAGATAGTCCAGAGCAAAGCTGGTAATTCCTTGCAGAAGATGTGCAGAAACAGGAGAAACCCATTGGAAGACAATTCTTCCAACAATATCCAGCCTTCTTTCTACACCGAATAGCCATTCCCTCAGCCATTCTGCTCAATATGACCTGACCAACAGGGTTGGTGTCAAATCTGTTTAATTTGTGTCTTTATAATGTTTACAGTAAAAAACCAGATGACTTTCTTGGATTTTTGTATTGACATTTCCTCTTGGCTCAAAGCATTAATCCCGGGACAGCAAGATATATAAGTGATTTTGCAGACTCCACCTTGTCATGCAAGGAAGAAGAGTAATTCCATCATCTATAACAACTCTGACCCATGAGTTAGGGCTGATTTGAATGACTTTTGGGTCCAACACAGTGTTTCCTTAACATGAAAGTCTATTATGACTGCTCCTAAGGTACATTTCACCTTGTTTTGAGGAGAGAGATAATGCCTGGCTTTCAAACAAGAAGTCTAGGGGTGCACATGGTGCCCCTGGAAGCAAGTGTTGCTTACAATTGTTACGGCCCCTAAAATGGTACCAGCTAAGTTTAGGGGTACAAGGTAACAGTGCCTGCAATTTAGGGCTCCCACTTTAGTTAAAATAATTGGGTATAGTCTTTGTTTAAGGAGAGACTACCTGAGTGCTGTCAATCTAGTTTTTCCTATTTGGTCACATCATCAGCCAATGGAGTTTATCTGTACCATGGAATGACTGAGAGTGGGGTTGTGGAAGACATATGGGGGTGTTTTTTTGCAGAGGTGCAGAAGCTGGGGCCATTCTTGCTGCTTCTGATAGACTTATCGGTAAGGTTAGGGGAATGACAAATTGTCAAAACTGTCTGTTGGAAGATAGCATACCTAGCAGTCAGTTAAATTTAACACATTGACAACAATTTGGGAGAACTCCACGAGCGTTTTCCTTGGGGCTCCAGGTTGGTTTTTAAGACAGTTATTTTTGAAATTTGTTTCTGAATTGAACGATTTTATAGACCCATCGGTATAATGCAGATGTGTTAGTTAATAAATAAATATTTCAAAGCATTTTAACGTTAGCATCCGCTTTCGCTTTGGAGCAGTGTTCTGGTTTAGATGACAAATCATATGATCATTTTTTAAAAGACCTAGTTCATTTATCCATGACAGTTTTTTTTTTTTTTTTTTGGTAACCAGTACAGGTAGTAATGATCTCTCTTACCTCCGAACTTCCACAACATGTTCTATGTATGCTTCATATGTAGTTTATGCATACTATATAGTTTTTGCATTGTATGTGCTTGTCTACTACCAGATTGTGACTTTTTAAGTATTGTGACAATATTAATTTCTGTCCTTGCCAAGGCCTGGTAGCATGCTTGGCACACAAAAGATATTTGGTAAATACCGTTTTAAAACCTTCCCCCCTCCTCAACTTTTTATTTAATATATATTATTGGGGAGTCTGTATTAAGTGATTCTTGGTGTTTACTGTTTGATAATCTTATATACCTTGCAAGAATTTTGTGGCTTGTATGAAGCAGGTAAATATCCTTGTTTTATATATGCATGGCAAAAGTTGAGGCTCAAAGAAATCGTGTTCTTTCTCAAGGTTGTCAGGGGTTGTCCTGTGCAATGCAGGATATCTATCAGCATCCCTGGCCTCTACCAAATAGTTGCTAGTAGCATGTCCCCTACCCCCTACACCAGTGAAAATAATGACAATTAAAAAAAAAAAAAGCCTATCATTGCCAAATGTTCCCTGGGGAGCAAAATCACCCTAGTTGAGAACTGCTGTCCTAGAAGGACATTTGGGAGGGGAGGAGGAGACGTGACTCTGAAGTAGTTGAAAATATACAGTTGGAATTCAGGATAAGGATCAGAACTAAAGATGTATTTGAAAGTTACTCTTAAGTGGTAGTTATTTACTTTCCCAGAAAAAAAAGTATACAGTAAGAAAAAAATAATAATAATACAGGGCTAAAGACAGAGCTGGAGAAATGGAACAGTTGAGTGAAAAGAGTGGATAGAGGAGCCAGAGATTGAGAGAGAAGGAACCGTCATAGAGTGGTAATTCAATGAAAATAAACTCTTGAAATGCTTTAAATTATAAATATACTCCCACTATAAATAATTGGGATATATTAAAGGAAGTAATGAGATTTGGCTGTGAGCTTTGTTGGTTCTACCATTTTGTTTTGTCATGTCTTGCATTTCCTTTAGTTAATATTTTATTTCATGTTGAAGGAAAAAATGAATTATTCTGTTTACTGAAGAGAATAATTTATTATTTCAGGTTGCCGAGGAGCCCAAGTAGAAGAAATATGGAGTTTAGAGCCTGAGAATTTTGAAAAATTAAAGTAAGTATAATTTTAGTTGTGTTAATAATATGTATATTCTTTAGCAAACTTAAAGGATATTCAGATTTGTTTGTTTATTTTACTTGGATTACTCTAGGTTTAATACATTATGTCCTTTAAGTCTGTTCAATCCTGTGAGATAGATATTATTATTCTCTTTTTATAACCAAGAACCTGAGGCTGATAGGTAACTTGCAAGGGAGTCAAACCTAAGTCTCTGCAGTTCCATATCCACAAAGTACTGGTTGGCTGATTTTTTTTTTTTTTTTTTTTTTTTTAACAAAATTCAGTCATATATCAATAGTGTTAGAACATGGAACACATTTAACATAAAAAGCAAGAACAATAGATCAGTGTACTAAAGCATATTTAATACATAATGTATATTTATAATAATCCAGAACTTGCCTACACACTATCACATTGCCTCTTGGGAAAGTTATATTTAAAGTTCCAAATGTTGATGCCAGAAACAGCTTTTATCCTTCCCCCGTCTTTCTGACCAGAATCACCTCTCTTAACTTCTCCTTACCCCTGACCACCATGCCCTCAAACATTGACCCTGTATCTGCAAATGGAGGGCTAAAAGAATTTTCACTGCTGGGAGACTTGGAGTCTTGGAATGGGGTCGAGGAATAATCTTTTAAAAGGGAAAATAGGAACTTAGGGATATGCCAACCGTTGTTAATAGTAAGAAGGAGATAGGTAGTTTTCTTCTTCCTACCTTTCTCCTCCCCGTAAAAAGAGCAATCACTTTAGATGAAATGAGATCATTTGTGGCTAACATCAGGGAAGATTAATTAAAAGTGCATCATTTGAACTGTCTTTAAAAAGATAGGAGCCAGGCATGGTGGCGTATGCTTGTAGTTGTAGCTACTCAGGAGGTTGAGGCGGGGAGATCACTTAAGCCCAGGAGCTCAAGTCCAGCCCCGGCAACATAGTGAGACCCCGTGTCTAAAATAAAATTGAATCAAATAAAAAGGGGGAAGTTTTGGGTTTTCTTTGTTTGTTTGTTTGTTTTAAACTGTCTCACTCTGTCACCTATGTTGGAGTGCAGTGGTGTGATCTCAGCTCACTGCAACCTCTGCCTCCTGGGTTCAAGTGATTTTTCTGCCTCAGCCTCCCAAGTAGCTGGGATTACAGGCACGCTTTGCCACGCCTGGCTAATTTCTTTGTTTTGTTTTGTTTTTGTTTTTTTAGTAGAGATGTGGTTTCACTATGTTGTCCAGGCTGGTCTCAAACTCCTGGCCTCAAGTAATCTGCCCGCCTTAGCCTCCCAAAGTGCTGGAATTACAGGCTTGAGACACCACGCCCAGCCCTGAGGACAGGAAAAGTTTTTTTGTGGGGTGGGAGGCAGTTGTGATAGATAGACTAGAAGGAATTTCAAAGTAGTGATTTAATGTTTTGTGCTCAAAAACAGTTTCTTTAGGAAAGTGGATGATTTCATTATGTATGAGATGGTAGCATCAATTCATACTGCAATATGAGGATTTTTCATGAATCCAATAGTATATGAAGGTTACTTCCTATATTTAATATAGAGAATATATGCTATCAGTCGTTTATCTATAAACATGTTACATGAACTTTATATATTTTGGTGTTCAGCCAGCTTCTGGTTTTACCATATTCTTATTTTTTAATTGAGGCGATATTGGGTAGAAATGAATAGTCTACAGATTTGAAAGTAAACCTTTCACTATAATTTTATTTTAACTGATATAATTTTAACTTGTATTAGCGTCTTCTAAGGCAACAGTCCAGTGACTATGAATGGCAATAGTGATCTTTTAAAATTTCCCATATTTACTTCATTTGCATTGTATTTGTTAAATAACTGACAACATTTTATAGATTAACAATGTATTATGAAAGGAGCAGGGTTTGTCACTAATTTGTATTTTGTTTTGTAGGCCAGTTCATGGGTTAATTTTTCTTTTCAAGTGGCAGCCAGGAGAAGAACCAGCAGGCTCTGTGGTTCAGGACTCCCGACTTGACACGATATTTTTTGCTAAGCAGGTATGGTCCTTGGATACTCTGAAAAGTCTCAAGAGCAACCCTTTTTATAAACAAGACTCTAGTTTACTACTATTTGCTACTAGTACAGTAGTCCTCAAACTCTTACACTCTTAAAAATTATTGACATCTCCACTTACACTCTTAAAAATTATTGACATCCCAAAAGAGCTTTTGTTTCTAGGATTATCTATCAATATTTGCCATATTAGACATTAAAACCAAAACATTTTATTAATATTTAGGCCAGGCATGGTGGCTTATAACTGTAATCCCAGCACTTTGGGAGGCCAAGGCAGGAGGATCCCTTGAGCCCAGGAATTTTTTTTTTCTTTTTCTGAGATGGAGTCTTGCTCTGTCGCCCAGGCTCGAGTGCAGTGGTGCAAGGCTTGCTGCAACCTCCACCTCCCAGGTTCAAGCAGTCCTCCTGCCTCAGCCTCCCAAGAAGCTAGGATTACAGGCACACGCCACCATACCAGGCTATTTTGTATTTTTGGAGAGACGGGATTTCACCATGTTGGCCAGGCTGGTCTCAAACTCCTGATCTCTCAGGTGATCCACCCGCCTTGGCCTCCCAAAGTGCTAGGATTACAGGCGTGAGCCACCGTGCCCGGCCGAGCCTAGGAATTTGACACCAGCCTGGGAAACATGAAGAGACCCATCTCTGTAAAACAAAAACAAAAAAATAAATTAGCTGGGCATGGTGGTGGCATGCCTGTGGTCCCAGCTACTTGGGAGGCTGAGGTGGGAGGACTGCATGAACCCAGGATATGGAGGCTGAGTGAGCTATGTTCACACCACTACACTCCAGCCTGGGCAACAGATCTTGACCCTGTCTCAAAAAAAAAAAAGAAAATAAGAACTATGAATAGATTTGAAGTAATAATAAACTTGTTATATGTTAACATAATCACATTTTTTAATGAAAAATAACTATAGTTAGCCAAAAAAGTTAGCTAGAAGATTGCATTGTTTTACATTTTTGCAAATCTTTTAAATGTCTGCCTTAATACCACAGCTGGATCCTGCATGCTTCTTCATTCAATCTGTTGCAGTGTTTTTGTTTTGTTTTGCTTTTGGTTGAAATCAATGAAAAAAGTTCTGTCTCACACATATGTGTAGTTGGAAAAGGAGAAATATTGTATTTTTCAGGTAAATACGATACTCTTTGACAATATGTCAAAACTTTAAAAGTATTGCTTTCTCAAAGGTTAGTTGTAATGTAAAATTTGTACTTTGTTATGGTCAAATCCTTTGGACCCCTTCAAATGGATCTTTTATTCCTGTATGATTTTGTAACATTGTACATTTACTGATTTGTGAATGTCTAAGTGTTGACACATTAGATATGATATTATCAGAGAAGTTAAGTTACCTACCGCAAACCTTTTAAGCTCACAGTGGCAGATCTAAGTTTTACAGAATTCTAATTTTTAAATTTGCACTTGAAAATTCAAATTTTATCAACAACAGCAAATACTATTAGGTGTTTGTTCACAAAGCCACAGACTGATTTAACTCATTTTTAAGAAAATATCTGCCAGATATCCTTGTCTGGAAAACCACATTTGTCTCTCATTTGTTCTTTCAAGCAAAAATGATGTTCCAAGGAAAAAAGCTAACAATTTAGCTTACAAATCAATTGCTGAAGTACTTTCTTCAAGATAACTAGCATATTTTGGTATACAGCAGTAGTTCTTTATTTGTACTTCCTATTTCATTCCACAGAATATTAAAGACTTGTACTCCAAGGTCAAAGTTTGATAAAAATAAGTTTTACTGCTTTGTCAAAGACTTTTTTTTAGTAAAACTTGCTCTTGTTTTCTTTCTTTTTTCTGAAACTCTTATGTATGTCAGTGAAATAGTTTAATGTCATTGCCTAGATTCATGCTAAAATACCAGCAATTTTACACACTGTTGCTTTTGTGCCAACAGTGCAGATGGAAAAGAAGAGGAAAAGGTTAAAACTATCTTAGAATTACGGTGGAAACCATATTGAGCTCACAAACTCCTTGAAAAGGGTCTTAGGGATTCTTAGAGAGTCATAGATAATACTTTGATTGCATTTGTTTGAAAATTGCACTTGTTTCTGAGACCCAAAAAATTGCTTAGAATAATCTGAATAACCTTTGGAAAGGTGGAAAATAAAACTGCTTATTCTCATTACTGCCCTTGAGATAAAGCCTTTGCTTAAAGTAGCTTGTTTTCCTTTTTCTTTTATTTTATTGCTGCTTTCCATTTTCCCCTGACTTTTTTGAATTGAGCATTCTTAGAGAAATTAGAACTTCTTGCTTTTACTTTAAGGAAAATAGGGTTTTTTTATAGTGTAGTTAAAAATGTGTCATTTGGTTTTTTTTCTGATAGCAGAACTTAACATTACAGAAATACATAGTGATGAACATGAATATCCTTGTAATCCCACACCCATCTCTACTAACCATTTAACAGTTTGACTCATCCATTTAATCAACAAGTAATCATTGAGCACCTACTTTGCTAGGCATTGTTTTAGATACTTCATATATAATAGTTGACAAGAGAGGCATGCTCAACAACTGTAATAATAATAATAGTAATAATACAACAACAGTAGGCAACATTTACTGCTCTTGTTGTGTACCAGATATTGTAATTTAGGTATATTATTTAATCTTTGCAGCAACCCCATGAGGTTGTCTTTATTTCACAAATGAAGAAATTGAGGCCTAGAAAAATTATTTGCCTGAGATCACACAGATGATATTTAGTAGATCTAGAACTCAAATCCCAAGTATAAAACCCAGGTTTGTGATTTTATATGTCATACTTCCTCCCACGTTTTCTATTCATATGTTAACATGTTTTCCTTACAATTTTGTTTGCTAAAATTGGATTATTATGCAAAATATTTTGGGTTTTTTTTACTTAGTAATGAAAGTTTGACTTTGTTTCATTTCAATACACATAATAAATATTAGTTAACATTTATTGAAGGTTTACTAAGTACTTTTATATATTTTAAATTATAAATTTATATAAAAATTTATATTATTTATATATTCTATAAATAAATTATTATATTTAAATATATTTAATATTTAAAATTATTAATCTGATCCCTTACAACAATTATCTGGTTTTGCAGTTTCCTCATCATTTTACAGATGTAGAAACCAAGTCCTAGAGAAGATAAGAAACTTGATCATGTTATGTAGCTAGTCAGTGGCAGAGCTAGGGTGCAAACCGAGGCACTGTGGCTCTGAAGTCTGTACTATTAACCTTATCACAGCACTGCCTCCTTTAGTGTTCTTGATATAGATATTCTATAATTTGGTTAATCTTTTAGTAGTCAACATTTTGAGTTTCTAATTATTTCCCTAATCTACATAATCTGGTCGGGCATGGTGGCTCATGTTTGTAATCCTATCATTTTGGAAGGCTGAGATGGGAGGATCACTTGAGTCCAGGAGTTTGAGACCAGGCTGGGCAATATAGGCAACCCTGTCTCTAAAAAAAGTAAAAAGTTAACCAGACTTGGTAGCACACGCCTACCAAGTCTTAGCTAGTCTGGAGACTGTCCAGACTAGCTTGAGCCCAGGAGGTTGAGGCTGCAGTAAGCTATGGTCATGCCATTGCACGCCAGCCTGGAGAGCAGAGCAAGACCTGTCTCAGAAACAAAACAAAAAGTCCAAATAGTCCATTTATATAATATTTTTGTACTTATGTATCATTATATATATAGTAACTATAATTTTAAATCCACAATTGTTTGTGAATTTTAAGATCTAGGTAGTAGAGAAAAGCTAGGGGGGCAGATGAATTTAAAAGTCTGTCAGGTGATTTTTCTCCTTTTTAAAAATGTTATTATTTTTTCAATGTATGTAGGTATATATGCCATTATAAAAATTTGTAAACATTATAAAATAGATGCTGTAGAAAATAAAAGTGTCTTGTAATCTCTGCTTTAGACATAACTACTGAAAACAATTTATAGTTTTACAGATTTTTTTCCCATGTATGTTTGTGTATATTTGTGTTAGGTTATTCTTATATTGCTATAAAGAAATACCAGAGACTGGGTAATTTATAAAGAAAAGGTTTAATTGACCTAGAGTTCTCCAGGCTTTATAGGAAGCCTGGTGGTGGCATCTGGTCAGCTTCTTGGAAGGCCTCAGGAAGCTTTTACTCATGGTGGTAGGCAAAGCAGGAACAGACATCTCACATGGCTGAGCTGGAGCGAGAGAGAAAGAGAGAATGGGGGACACACTTTTAAATGATCAGATTTTGAGCAAGAACTCACTTAACACCAAGGGGATGGCCTAAGCCATTCATAAGGGATCTACCCCCTTGATCCAAACACCTCCCACCAGGCCCTACCTTCAGCATTGGGGATTACATTTCACCATGAGGTTCGGGCAGGGACAAATTTACAAACTGTATCAGTAAATTAATTAATTGTGTTTCTTCCACACTAAACTGTAAACCTGGGAGTTAGGGATTTTGTTTTTATATTCAGTCCTTGGTACATGATAGGTATCCAATAAATGCAGACCAAACTGTTCATCTCTAAGAATATTATTGTTAAAGAGTGCTAGAATTTACTAACATTGGGATACTAATGATGTCTGATTTATGGAGACCTAGCTATTTTTAAGGTATAAGAAGGTACTCTATACACAAAGAAAAAAATGATAGTAGAGTCTGACTTTATAATTTCTGGAGTCCCTTGATATTTTTTAGTTCTGTGTTACATTTTTCTCTTACAGTGTTTTATTTGTATTATTCCAGTTGTGTTTATGAAAGTGTCAGATTAGTGATTCCCCGTATCATTGTTGGTACTTTATTTTGCTAATAGTTCATATTAAATTGACAGGTCAGTAATTCCCTCTTAATATCTGTCAGTCTTTTTAGTATATGCCTCCTATAAGCCTATGCTAGGAGAGTTATAATATATATTACATGAATATGTAATAGTTGATTTTAGGTTTCAAGGACTTAACAGTAATAATTTCCAATCCAGGATG